TTACAGGTCAGGGTCGTATGAACCAGCTGGGCGGGGTGTTTATCAACGGACGTCCGCTGCCGAACCACATTCGCTTGAAGATAGTGGAGATGGCGGCGGCGGGTGTAAGGCCGTGCGTCATATCGCGACAACTGCGCGTCTCCCATGGATGCGTGTCTAAAATCCTGAATAGATATCAGGTAAAAAGCATATATTTAACTAATATATTTATCTAACTTTCAACATCATGTACATTAATTTCGCATTTACACTAAAGTTGATAATACACTAAATCTATACTAAGGAAGTCTCTTAGCGATAAATTAATCAGATTTGGATAAACATTTATTATTTTAATCATTAAAATTAAGTGTAAGATGTTTATTTAATTGTAAGTAATTTATTGTGTTTTTTCGTTCACTAGGAAACTGGCTCCATCCGTCCCGGTGTGATCGGAGGATCTAAACCGCGAGTGGCCACGCCTGAAGTTGAAAACAGGATAGAAGAGCTCAAGAGACAAAACCCAGGTATATTTTCCTGGGAAATTAGAGATAAACTAATAAAGGAAGGCATCTGTGATAAAAATACCGCCCCGTCGGTCAGTTCCATTTCGAGACTTATAAGAGGAGGCAAAAGAGATGAATCAGACCCTCGAAGAAATCATAGCATTGACGGTATTCTAGGTAAGTTATTACTTACCTTGGATTTTCCAATTTTACTCTTAATTACCTTTAACTTAAATGGAATACTAATGACGTATTTTTGCTATGCTCTCCTCTATTATTATATCTCATATATTTTTCAAAAGACCCGAGTTTTTATCTTTATATGTTATGCAAATCTTTTCAATCCGTAAAAGTGCACATAAGAAAAATTTCTGTACTTACATTAAAATAAAACAACATATTAGTTAAGATATAGTCTTTTGTTTAGAAAGATTTAAAATGAAAGACAAAGTTGCCATATCATCGGAGTACTAGACCGCTAGTTAATACGAGAATGTAATCACTTAATTTAATCCATAGTACACTACTATTATAAATTTATATATTGTAATGAGACAGTCGGAAACGTTTACAAACTTTGCAAAATGGCGTATAAAGTTAATAATCCACGTAAAAGTGAAGCGCGCGCACGCCACAGCAGCGCCCCTCGTGTCGGCTTCGAAAATTGTAGGTTATAAAAATGAAATTAGTACCCAAAGGTGTTATTATCCCATCGCGTTTGGCCGCGGGCCTTGCATTACGACAATCTGTCCGTACTGCACGTCTTGTGCCGGAGCCGGCCAATATAAAATGGCGCTTCTAATATCCCGGTTCGACGACGGAGTGCGGTTTCGCCGGAGAGATTTTGCGCCGCGATAAGATTATGCATATTAAGTTGTGCGCGGCTAAAGTAATGTCTACACCGGCAGAGCGGTCTCTTTATGCTTACATCCACTAGCACATCTCGTGGCTTTCTTGATCTCATTCTATCAATATTCTCACCCAACTGTTTCCAGAATTGCACTAAGGCCCATATCTATACGCGCGTATTCGCATTCAATTGTTTCTGTCTTAATCGAAAACATCAATCTCATTACAATGTTCTTCAAAATTAATGCACAATGTTGTTACTATAAAGTTAATTGAACTCGCGTGTGGTCCCGACAGTAGCTAATAAAGGTACGCCTAATGAAATAAAAAGGGTACACGGTTTATAACAATGGAATAACATGTTTCACTTGTGTTTTGTGGTTATTTATGTGTGTAGTCATAGCTTTTCCATCAAAGGATTTCTTTTATTTTCTAAAAGGTCCCTCATCTTGTGAAGACTCAGATACGGAATCGGAGCCGGGCATCACGCTTAAGCGGAAGCAAAGAAGATCAAGGACCACTTTCTCCGGAGACCAGCTCGAGGCCTTAGAGCGCGCTTTTACCAGGACCCAGTATCCAGATGTTTATACCAGAGAAGAATTGGCTCAAAAGACTAAACTTACTGAAGCTCGGGTTCAGGTTAGTATCCAAATAATTTTTTTATAAGTTTTAAGAACTAAATTGAAATCTTAATTTATATGTTAATATAAAACTATAGCTTTGAAACTTAACAATGGTATTACAATGCCAACTGTTAATTTACTTTGAATCCAGTACATTTATTAAACATATTCACAAAGATAATCAAACATACTTATTGTAAAGATCAAAGACCCCTCCCGCTATCAAAAATAGTGCAAGGTAAAAAACACAATAATTACCTTCAAAATTAATTATTATAACTGTAGCCGCCATATGTTGGACTACGCTACCGTATCTTTTATATTTTTTGTTGAATTAATAACCCTTTGTAATTGTAACTTATACGAAAAGTAATAGGTTTAATGTTTAACGATATTTTTGACTGTATTTAAACATGTTTTTGTACACAATCTAGCTAATAACAAATTGTATTAATGGAAGTTTTTTCTATCACAGGTTTGGTTCTCGAACAGAAGGGCTCGTCTTCGCAAGCAACTCAATTCCCAACAACTCAGTGCATTCAATACGATGTCTTTGCAATCCGCATTCCCATCCGTCCATCAACAATACGAGCCTCCGTCAACTTTCAATCCGCAGTGCACGTCTTGGCAGCAATCTTATTCCTCCGCATTGGGTTCTAGTTCCGTTCTAAATTCAGCGTTAGCTCCTTCGTTACATCAATCATCGTTAACTCCGTCTGTCTGTCAATCAGCATTAGCAGCTTCTTCTCTCCACCCGCCTACGTCTACTTCATTCTCTTCTGGAAATCTTACACCTCTATCACATACATCTGAACTCCCCACTCCGTTACAACCAGCTTCAGATACCACTCCACCCAGTACAAGCCCAATCACCAGTAGTCCATCGAATCAGAGCACTGGAATCACTTATCAGCACTCGTACGCTAATCCCAGTGAAACCGTCTCCCATCCTTACGGCTATGGAGATTATTCGAAACAAGAACACGCCATGTCGGCCCATAACCATTGGACCTCGAGACAACTCAGCGGTCATCCTCAAAATAAGCTGCCTGATGTTGGTGCCTGGCCAGAAAATTATAGGTGAGTTAAAACACTTTAAATCGGAAATCCACTTCAAATATGAACCTGCGTTTACGTAGGTACTTAAATTTTATAAATAGACATAACAATCAATAACAAGAGCCTTTCTGACCATTTAAATCATTTCCTATTAAATTAAAGCGAAGAATGATATTCTTATTTATAATGATTAATGATATCTAATAATTTATAGCGACTTCTATCGGATGTTCGTCGGAGGTACGACGCGCGGGTCGTACATTTAGCATATGACGTCCGGTGGCTATGGCAGGGCGCGGGATTCGATCGCAAATCGGCGTACATTCGTTTTATTTCTTTTCACCTTCCTTTATCATTAGTCGGAGCGGCCGCTAATCAATTAAGAGTATAAGAAGTCGGCCATTATATGCCGCGCGGGTGGTTATTATACTCCGCCGTTCGTAATACACGATGCGATCGTGAACCGAATAGGGCTGCGAAATTTATCGGTATATTTGATTGATTATTATTAATCGATTATTGTTAATCGATATTTAGTAAGGGACGTCGTTTATTTTTAGTACAGTACTGGGTATTATGAAAGAGTTGTGTAAAATATGTTCGAGCGATTCATTTAGTGAATTTGTCGTAAGTGTATGTGACAAGCTCATTGTTGCTTTGTATTCTAAACAGCGTCGACATTTATCTGTGTTATCGAGACAAAGACACGCTATAAACTTTACATTGGACCACACACGCACAATATATCGCTTTGCACAATGACTGACACTCTATAACTTATGGCCTAACGAAGTATATATGGAGTTCGACTTTATACTAGTTCTTTTCGTAATATTGATGTACAGGCTTAGGTAGAGTCAAATTAGCACAGAGTATGTAATATCATATGGGAAGAAATACAAGGAAATAATTTAGCTTGTACAACCCTACATTATGTACGATTTTACAGCCAGATTACTTTCTTCTACTTCTTAAAAAATTTTCTATCTCCCCGTTACTTCACTTCAGTTTTAAATTGTTTTTTTTTTAACTGAAATATTTAAATTATGATGTTTTCATAATACTCTAAAATTAAAGTTGATTAAAGAGAACGATGTATTCAAGTAGTTTATTTACAATGCTCAATATGTAATACTAAATACAATTTCATAGCTTTCTCAAATGTAAAGAAACAACACGTATTACGAGGAGTGAAATAATAAAGCGGTATAACTCATAATTTATTTCCATTACCGTAAGCTAAATTGTACTCTGTTGCTCGGAAGCATACATTCAAACTCCAATCGGTATCTCACTTATTGTCTTCACTGTTCGTATCATCGAAATTGCATACAATGTGTAGGTCGTGGCATACGGTTCCAGTACTAATACATTGCGGAAAACAGATAAACATACGCCGGCCGTGGCGAGCGTAGCGGCAATTAATGGCAGCGGAACGTGACATTAGTACACTGAACCCGAGCATTAAACAAACGAAGCCGATATTACTTATCTGCACAGCTATTTGCATACGACTTCCTAAACTGCAACGAACCTCGCGTGCTCGACTTTTATTGGTCACATTATATCGATCGTTGATACTTCAAACTTAACGTTTGATTGATGATCCATGATAAATCACTTTACAATACACTTCTAAACTTTGATAGGACTACGAAGTTATAATTTAGTTTGCTAGTGTCGTTTAAACTTTCATGGAGACACTAGAATTGTAAATAGTGTCTGTTAAACAGCAACGTAATAAGATATATCTCATGCGTTTATTAACTTAAAACATTTCTATCTTACTAATATTATAAATGCGAAAATTTGTTTAAAGGTATCTCCGGAACGGTTTAACGGATCTTGATGAAATTTGGCAAAGATGTAAAACATATTGTGGAAGAACACATAGGCTACTTATTAAGTTCTTTTTATAATTCCGTACGGACGGAGTCGCTGGACAACTTATACAGATATAAATCTTTGAATGTTTCTTTCGTTGTAGGATGTTTCTTTTATATTAAGAATGAAACTCAATTTTATATCAAAAATAATATAATAATACATGATATTGTAGACCTGATGTGATTTAATCACCGATGTTTGTTGCGTGAGTTGCGTCAATCAATTTGCACAGCATTCGGTAATGACGTAGTTAGTATGCTAATTGCAATATCTGTGTAACCTGGTTCAACTGGTTCATAAAATATGCATTAAAATTGTTATGCTATTTTGCTTAAAACTGAAGCATTCTTACAAATAATGTATTCGTAAGATTGTAAGTCAGTATGTAAGAACATTGTACGGTTTAAAAAAACAAGTTGTTGCCAACTTATAACTTTAAATAAAGTATTAAAGTATTAAACATATAATAAAAGAGTTGTTAACATTTCAAATATAATAATTATTTATTGCGTGTTTCGGTTTTGAATCACTTCTGTGTACCACGCCCATAGTACCTTCCACTATATCATTCGGGCTTTAACAAAATTACGTATTTCGGTTGTCCAAATTCAAGTTACAATTACAACGCGTCCAAATGCCGATAAGGCTTTATTAGGCTATATTATAGTGCTCTTATATTACGGCTTATGTTAGTGTTCCAATTTTTTTATCACATAATTCTTTTACATCTCAATTATTTGCATACAATATTTATTTATTATTTCTTTTTGTCTTACATTCAAATTATAGTTTATAGAGTATATTACAGCCTAGGTTTTCTGCAAATGCGCCTTTCTCTTTATCTTACCTGTATTTTAAGTGAAGGGTAAATGACTTTCTTGTTTGACCTAATTAAATATCTCAAGTGATAATATGTTACTTTTCTAAAGTACTATTTATTTATAAGTTGCATGACAATGAAGAGTATTTTAGTTATTTAGCCCAACAGTGAACGTTATCAATATAAAGAATGATCTTTTCTAAATTTCTCTATAATTACTTCCCAAAAAGGCCATAGTAGTTGACTATGGTCTAGTCTCGTCTGTAACTTAAGGGACGATCCGAGTCCTACAGTGGGCACGTATAGTGATGGTGAATCGATTCTTATTTTGTTGAATCATACGGAAGTCTGGTTGCTTGTCTTGTTATACTTATGTTATTTTATTGTTACAGTTCATTCTTCGGTACCAATGCATCGCATTACGCAACTCATGCGCATTCTCCTACCGAAGCGAAGTCAGGTTATCCTTACTTGGGACAACTTGGAGGCATGGATATGGGAAGAGTACATTAAATATTATTTACATATAGTTTAAGAAAGTTTATATTAAAAATAATTTAATAGGTTTACTCTGAATGCCTTTACCAGTACTATGGCATATCGTTATGTGCCTTTTAATAGATTAAAGGTTATGTAATATTTTGTAAAGTATTTTCGATTATGTACAAATGGTATAAGTCCAGAAATATTTTGTAAAAACTTATTTACTTTAAGATTTGTATTATGTACTTTATATATGTAATTATATATGTTATAAATAGTTTAGATGTAATTTATCTTGTTCCTATATGAATATAGTTATTATAAATCTTAGTAAATATTGTAGGTATAAAGTTAAATATTTTCAATAAAACATTTCCTAAATGATGTGTGATGATGAAATATATTTTGATCGTGTATAAAATATCTTTGTCAATTAAAATTGCCTTAAATGAAGTTGTGATTTTTAATGTAGTTGTATTTATCATTGAACTACTGACCGCAGGTTTCTGATACCAAAATTTATAATATATATAAAACATATCTTCGTCCTTATCATTTTGCTTTGACGAAACAGAGATAACAATATATTCTAAACTAGCATTTTGGGCTCAGAAATCCTTGGTATAGCACGTAGACTAACTTTACGTAGTAAGCACATTGTCAAAAACGTTATTACAAATAAAATGATCTTTATTAAACTTTGTTTTTCTAATTTTATGTCACATTTTATTAGTATTATAAATGCGAATATTTAGGTGCGTAGATAGATGTTTCTTAGAAGGTATATCGAGAACGGCTGCATGGATCTCGCTGCAATTTGAAACATATGCAGAACATAGCCTGAATGAACATAGGCTACCAATAAAAAAGTTTGTGTTTTTTTAATTCCGCGCGGATAGAGTCGCGGGAAGCTAGTAGTCTAATTTTGTTGTTAGTCATTAAAATACTAGTCAAGGTTTGGGTGCGTCATTACAATTGTCATTTATAAGTTGATACTGTTACAAACTTTATAATGATACCCTATGAGCACTAGAGGCTGTTCATGACTAAGTCTACCGATGACATAACACTAGCGTCAGTCCTTTGTCATACTAAATAATTAATATACCTCAAATAGGAACTATAATGATTTGACTAAAACAAATGATAGACTTATGCCATACAATAATCATTTTAGCGCTGACGTGGTCTGATTACGCACATTTTAGTGAATCATGGTTATGTAGACCTAACATTTTTGGATTAAGGCTTACTTCCAATAAATGAAAACAATGAGACACTATTGTTAAATGAAGTAGGTATTAAAATACATTTTTAATTTTATGATCATTAATTGTAATGATTGCTGGCTGAATTTAAATGACAATATCCGGAAACATGTTATTATTTAAAAAAAAAAGAAGTACAAAGCTTCTATAATAAACATATTCCAACAAATCTTACTATTATAAATGCGAATGTTTCAATGGATGGATGTTTGTTATAAGGTATATATGTAAAACATAGCTTGGACAAACATATAGGCTAGTTAATTTATTTTTTAATTCCCTGCGGATAGAGTCGCGGGCGAAGTTAGTTGTTCATATAAAGCTGTGTAGCTTCAATAATGACATTAGCAGAAGCGCATCATTTCTCTTAACGTTCCGATTGAGGTTGACATTGTGCTCACAGCGTGGGGCTTAATTAGATAGTCAAACACACGCTTCCCTATTTAAGACAATGTATGAATCTGATCGAAAATAGAGTGCTGTTGTCATACACAAATTGTATTAATGATTAATTTCATTACAATTCAATAGACACAACATCGAATCCTATATCGATCGACAATGAAAACATAGATTTATGATCTGTGCTTGACTAAATATTACTTATGACTTTTTTTTTTAATTCAGTATGTGGAAAATATTTCTGATATGCCAGGAACAAAATAATCGAAACAAAATATTTTAATCCAAACTTTTTGATAAGGTATTTGATGAGCTTTATCGAGTAGTGTTCCACTCTTTCTTTCACACAAGCACAGTATTCTAATGACCTTCTAAAGGCGATGTTAAATTAGCAAATATTGTGAGTTTTGCTCTTCCTTGCATTAAAAAAAAACAGTCGATCCATTATTTTCGTGTAATTGAGAATTAAATCAGTGATTACGTCGATCTCTATTTCTACCGGGGAAAACTTGAATAGGAAGAAGCGTGATTGTATTCAGATTTTTTTATTCCAAAACGAAATCATAGTTGGAAAAAGATTCAGGTTAATCATACTTGTGCGAGCGTGCTATTATGTCCTGAATTAACTATTTATGCAAGAGATGCATAGTTGAATAAAAAGATTATATTCAAAGAAGATTTTCATAGACAAATGATAATAATTTAATGGCCAGTGTTTGCTTTTTTTAAGTCTCAATCCGAAAAGAAACTAAATAAAAAAAAATAGCGGATTTTCGGTTTACGAATATCAAATGAAATAGTAATTCTTTGAGCATCTTTGAACCATCTTTAAAATTGAACTTCCTGATACACGAAAACAATAGTTTAAAAACAAATATCGCAATTATGAAAATATTTTAAAGCAAAAGCAAACTGTATTTAATATAATCAAAGCTTATTGTGTCTTAATTAATATAGTAACTTAATAAATGACTTGGTTGCAGAAAATTAGTAGTCTCGAAATGTTACGTGAAATAAATTATAGAGTAAATAACGGGATTGCGTCAACAATTTGTATCATGATGTCAGAACTAATAGTTAGTGGACTATGTAACTTTAGTAAGAATAATGACTCTGACGTCATACGATTATATTTTTCTTATCATTTGCATTGTTTGTTATAAGCCTAGATTAGGTTTCTATGCAGGCTCAGTGCAAGTCTCGCTTAAATGAAAATAAAACTAAAGACGCATGATACTGCGGCAAAGATAGGCATTAGTAAGAATTTAGGGTTCTTCAAGACGCGAGCGTATCACCTTAAAGACCGGCAACGCATCTGCGGTTCCTCTGGTATTGCTGATGTCCATGGGCGTCGTTGAACTCCTCGGTGTTCCTGCTGCACTTTTGGCACCTTTTGTTTTAACAAAAATTGAACTGAATTACCCAAGTTTCTTACCTATATTATAAAAGATATAAATTTTCAAATGTTAAACACGTAGCTCTATATTAAATAGATGTGACGAATCTGTTGGAAAAACGGGGCGGAGTCTATAATGGCGGATGGCGACTTTTTGTCAGTTTTATTTGTTTTGTTGTCGCTTGCATTTTATACAAGATGAGTAGTTCACTAATAAGATATAATATCAGTGTACAAATATATTTAGATAGACATAGAGGTATTGATAGAAAAGAGTTATTTTATTATTGCTATCATAAAAAGTAAACGCAGTATTACTTATACTTTTAAAACCAAACCAGTCATAGATAGATAAGTCACGGTAACTCCACGGCACTTTTAGTGGAATTTATTAAAAGCTGTCTACAATTTTGTTTCAAATATTTTAATGTATTTGTATTTGCGTAACGAACAGTGACTATTCATTCGATTCTTTCGTTCACACACAGAAACTCGTGAGAAAGAAAATCACAACAAAAATGAAATTACGGCTAACTGTTCGACAATTAAAATTGAAGATGGCGGGGACAGTTATAGCGGAATGATTGCAGGTGGATTGTGTCGTGGGTTTCGGATTAGAAGCTAGAAGAGATCGTCGATAATCGGTCGTCGACATAAAAAAAGGTTTTTCTTAAAAATGGATACGGAATCAGATTGATTTCCACAGAGCATAGTGCACGCACGTGGCAGTAAGCAGTGCGACAGCTATTTGACACACTCTGTTACGTGATCAAGTCCGATCATTACCGACTACTTCGATAATCTGTACTTGACAAAATTGCTCATTAATTAGTAGTAAAATTCTTGGCAGCATTTTTATTTTAGCTTCCTTATCTTAACTTTATCTTCTTCGTATTTCCTTATCATAGTATTATTATGGATATGATAGTATTATTCACCTTTCTTTAATCCTTATAATTGCTTTGCGACAAAGTGTAAGTTCAACACATCTATCTATATAATTAGTACAAATCGCTTTCACGTTGATTTACAATATTATTTTAATAAATACTTTGAGAAATTACTACATTTACGTAATTTGATACAGAAATTCCTTGATTCGTTTTTGTTTATCAAAATAATATCCATGTAACGTTTCTTGTTTTGACTAAGCCGAAAAGAATATATCGATGTTAAACGTTATGATTCATCGGGAATTCCTCAAGGTATTTTAACAAATCAATTAAATAAAATCTGACACGATTCTCAGGACCTATGCCCATAAACTTTCATATTCCAGAAGACATTCAACTTACTAAAATTGCTTCCGAAAGCAATTAGTGGCGTGTCTAAAGCATTCGCTTGGCAAAAATCAACAATCACCCAGAGAATATTCGACTGCGGCTATCGAAGTCGTCCGGGCCCCTGACGGAGTTCTCACGAGAACTGATGCGCCGGCATTCCGACCAAATGTCCACACAATTCTCTGTCAAATGCTAAAGTCGTGCATATCCACTGATCACTCGACCAAAAAACTGTTAACTTTAACACTCGATCGGTTTCAATTTTTTCCTTCAAATCAATAAGTATCAAATAAAACCAGTATAAACTAGTTACTACATTTTTGAAGTACTTTGTATATTACAATAGTAACAACTGTATATGTCTCTTTATAGTTGGAATCATAGACAATTGTGCTTGATTTTTGTACAAATTTCTGGTAACAACAAAGTAATAATGAAACTATTCACATACAAATAACTTAAAATAACGAGGAGATTTATAAAAACAAATCATATCATTTCAACTGTGAAGATAAATAGAACATTCAATTTAAAAATAACGGCCTTCATGATCGGCAATAGGTCTTTGAATAGAACAGTCATTCGTTCCGACTTTTTGTTTCACATAGTCTGCGAGAAATTGTAAATTTGTACCAAATAAATAGAAACGAGGGTGTCGACACGCCGTTTTGTTCTTACATTAAACAATGGACGTTGCTTTCGACCGGGGACCTCATACGGCGACCCTTTAAGCGAAAGCACGGGATGTTATGTTTTGAAGGAATCATTACTCTGGTTTCGCATAGAGGAGGCAACAATTGCTAGCTGATTCCTGTTAGTACAGTCGTGAGCTTTTGATGAGACAATGATTTAT